CAGCTGAGTTAGGGGAGTCTGAATAACTCACACTGGTTGGTAAAGAGACACTGACCTGTTTATTCAGGGATAAACGCAAAATAGACAAATAATAAATAACAAATGGAAATGGCATCAGTGAACAGTAAAAAGTGCAAATAATATAATATATATCAGAAACTGTATTAAAAAGGTAAAACACACAAACAACCTGAATAGAAAAGTCTATTAACTTCATTAATTAGCATCATTAATGTAATGGATTATTTTAATCGGTGTGCTGGAAAACAGGGACCTGACCTCTTTTTTTTAAATGGATCTGGAGTCTGAGTCTGTATTTTCTCCAGATATTTAATCGTAAGATAAGATAAGAGCTTTATTGATCTCACAGTGGAGAAATTCACTGGTCACACATCGGTTAGAGTTCAAAAGGAGGAAAAGGTGCATAAAGTACAGCAAAAACAAACAAATATACAAGGAAGCAACAGCGCAGAGATTTGAGTGACTAAAATATATCAAATATATATATCCAATCATAATAATATATATAATCATAACTGGGTTCTCTGGTTGTCTGCAGGTTATGCGGAGGCCCAGCTGAGACAGTACCAGAGGCTCACCAAGCAGATCCGACCCGACCTGGAGAGCTACGCCAAGCTCAGAGAGGAGAGGTAAACCCCCCCCCCCAGGTCCCATATCCAGACCTGGGTCAGATGTTTTGTATACACTGTACTTAATCTGTATTTTTTTGTATTTTTATTTATTTATTTGTACTTTTTTGCTTAATTTTATTCTAACTTTATACTTTTTGCCCTTTAAGCTGCTGGTAACCTTAATTTCCTGAGGGAGTCTTCCCAAGGGATCAATAAAGTACTGTCTAAGTCTAAGTCTAAGACCTCAGACTGGATCCATGAGGAGATTTACTCGATTTAAATCAGGAGAAACATCTCCAATCTGCCCCCCCTCCTCCATGAAGAGGGGTAAACCTAAAATGTCACCTAAAAGTAACAAGAACCCCCTTTTTTTTATTTTAAACCCTATATTTTATTCAAGAAAGGCTGTACAGTGTGTTTAAATGCATTTAAATACAATGTTTTGATGAATTTTTCTTAATTTTGTTTAACAATCAAATCAAAACACAGCCACATACCCATGTCTAAAACAAAACAACAACAACCAAACAAAAACAGACATTGTCCTGCACTCTGATAAATGTTTATGGTTCAATAAGATCCATACTAAACATATTTCAGGCTGTGTTGACTTCTGGGGGAACTGAGGCTCAAAGGGTCCCAAATGTAGTTACACTTCCTAATTGAACCTCTAGACCAGTGTTTTTCAACCTTTTTTGAGCCAAGGTACATTTTTTTATTGAAAAAATTACAAGGCACACCACCAACCAAAAATGTCAAACAAATGTGTAGCCGCCTATAGTAACACTATAATTATTCTTATTTTATTCTTATCTTATTTTAAGTGTCTTGAATAGGAATCAAATAATCACAAAAATGCATTTTTATCATATTTTATATTTCTTCTTTCAAATTGCACTTAACATTATATACAAAATCTGGTCATAAGGAATTATTACATGATTACTCCACCAGTCACTAGAACAACACAGACACTCAAAAATAGAATATTATTTGCAGATAATTAATTCCTTATCAGAAAATATTTTTAGACCAATTAGGTGAAATAGGATGATTTTCTACAGCACACCTGACCATCACTCACACTAGAGTACCGAGGACCAGTGGTTGAAAAAACACTGGTCTAGTGAAACGCTTAATTTTCTCCGGTTTGGGATAAAATCTTAGTTAAGAACGGCCCTGTAACAGGGACCCGTCACATGCTGGGAGCTGAAGGTTTCCATACCTTCAGCAGCCCGATGTAGAGATTAAAGCCCCGATGGCGTTCTGAGGTCAGGAGGGACTCAGCGGTTTTCTGTGGTTGTGCTTCTCTAATTGTTTTGCTTCTGTTCACAGTGGGGAGGACTTCTATCCCACGTCCAACAGCCTGATCCACGGGACCCACGTCCCCACGAAGGACGGCATCGACCGCATGGTGGAGGACGTAGAGAAACAGTAGGTCACTCAGATTAGAAAGAGAGAAACCACACACACACACACACACACACA